TGCAAGGATAAATAAGCACTGGATTTTGAACATATCCACAATAAATTTACTGGGAAGATCTTTTTCATCTTCGACTGTATCTACCACAGAAAGTCATTAATAAGACCATTCATATTAATAAAAAAATTACAAAGAGGCACAATAAACTCTGCACATATTAAAGAAGAAGAGACAAAAATATCTAATGAAAACATAATTCACAATACAAAAGACAGTGATGTGGGCTAATCCATTTCTCTTTCATCAACATAAAAGGAAATTGCTGAATATCTAATCATGAACGTGTAAACTGCAAAAAATTGGCCCCTTCTAGTTACCACTCATTCATGCAAGTATTGTAGTTTCTCCTATACAAGCTGTAAAGATTCATTCAACTGCAATTATGTTGGTCTGTATTTGGTTGTCTTCATTTTTCAGAAATGACTCACAAATTGCTAACATTACCACTGATCATATAAATGGGAAATATAATATTGTGACATTTGACGAAAGCAGAGCAAAACTATGTAACAAAAATTCTCACTAAAATCGTCGGAACAATAACCACAAGAAAACAAGTTTTGTCACAGAAATCTCTAGCAACAATGAAAAAATCTAGTGGATCTGCTAAATGATCCTTAAAATTCACTCCAATGATTGATTCATCTTACTTTTAACCTTCAGCCCTCGGAATGGCATGTATGTACAGGCCATGCCAACTGTGAGTTTAGTTTATTAATCAGCTTTGCATACAGATGCCTCCACAAGTACTTAGTCACCAATGAGCCAGTTACGAGTAATACCAATCTCACTTGTTTACCATTTTCCTTGATTTCTGGTAATATTTTCTGGTATCTCATATTGCTGTTAGTAATGTCAACAACACTATGGTAATCATATTGTCTTATGATAATAATAACAGCATTGGTATTGATTCCACTAGTAAAAAAGACATTTTTTCCAGCAAACCCAAGGAAAGGTGAAATCACATGAAGTCACAAGGTCTACTAATCGAATCCTTTGCAGCTAAACACTTGTGGAGCCATTTTGCAAAATATTACAGTGAACACTACTTTTCCCAGCAATGTGGGTTAATACACACACACCACAAAAAAAAAATTCAATACTGTTACACATTAAGTACTCAATAAAATTTTCTATATGACAGTGATGACAAAAAAATCAACAGAGCATATATGGAAAAGAAACTGACGCTTTTATTCATTCTTAACATTTTATCTTTAAAGAACCAAAATTTGCTTACTGCTGTTGCAAATGTTTCCGGCAAATTTCAGCAGTGTTTAAAATTTACTCTGAATTCTTAATTTGCTGTTTCAGACTTTACTACTAAGAAAATTCTGATAATGTGAATCAACTTGGCTATCCATAAACTGCATTTAACGGTTAATAAGTTATGTTAGAAATTCCAGGAGAATCAAAATTAAGAATGAATCAAAGAATGAAGAAAAAAAAAAAGACATCTATTCTTGAAATAAGACTGACAAATGTAATAAACTTCAAACCAATTCAAAAATACAAGTAAAGGGAATAAAATGTTTCCTGCACATTTTTGTTCACAACATAGTAAAAATATTCATAATATTCACGCACACACACAAAGACGCCAAAGTCATCTCACTGAATATACTGACACACATGGTCAGTTTTGATCTACAAAGTACAAAAAATTAATTCTGAATACAGAATTCTCAAAGCTGTGAACCCTATTACATACTGTTACAATCAAAGAAACATTCAAAATAATTATGCTTCACAATTAAAAGTTACTAGTTTTCTTGTAAA